TGCAACATATTCCATCTTATAATTTCACTGAACTGTTATGTTAAACTGAATACAGCACCATCCTATTTTACAGCCGTCAGACATTGTAAACATGTAGAAGGTAATGAGATACACCAGCCGTTAAGAGAGAAGCAGGGCTCTGGCCAGTTTGGCTCAGTGGATAAAGTGTCGGCCTGTGGACTGAAGGGTCTGATAGGGGACCTACCTGACCCTTCACCTGCTGGGTCACGGGGGCCTGAGGGCACGGCTTGGGGGGAGCTTGAGGAGAGTGGCGTTTTCCAACCCAAACAGATATAGTTCATATTGTAACAGTCCACACAGGACCCAGAATAGAATCAGAAAGAACTAAAATCCTACTGTCGACAGGGGGACTTATAACCTGATAGATAGAGCACCTGCATTAATCTGAAAAATAATCGTAGTATTTTAAATCTTAGAGCACACATACTTATGTGAATAGGGGGTTAGGTTTTTCTTAAGTTTCCTTTCCAAGGCCTGTGCGAAGCAATGGAGGCGGTGACTCAGCTGTGAATCCAGCAAGCAGACCCGATAAGCATGGTCAGGCTGGCCCACCAGGAGCCAAAACATCATCTCCTCCACATCATCTCATCGCCTGATGACAAGGACAGTAGCTGACGTCTGCGGACCCCCAGGGCTGCACGTGGCTGCACTCGGTTCCCAGCCTCACCCCAGCCCCTTCCCCTTTGTAACCCTGTCCCCTGCACCTGCTGGGAGGCAGGGTTTGATGCTCGTAAGCGCCCTGTCTTCTTGGCTGGCTGGCCTGCTCAGTAAACGCCTTACGTGATTCAACCCGGCCTTCGTTACTGGACACAGCGACAGGCAGCCTGAGCCCACCCGGGGGTTTCCTGGTAACAGGTTCTGGGTTCAATTCTGGTCAAGGGCATGTACCTTGGTTGCAGGCTCAACCCAGGAGACAGCTAATGGATAATGGATGTGTCTCTCCCACATTGATGTTTTTCTCTCTCCCTCCCTCCCTTCCACTCTCTCTAAAAATCAATGGAAAAATACCTTCAGGTGAGGATTAACAAAGAGAGAGAGAGAGAGAGAGAGAGAGAGAGAGAGAGAGAGAGACACTGCGTGGGTAGCATGGGCACCGTGCCTGGGATGCAGCGCCTCCCCCAGGTGCCGCCGTGTGTGGCCCTGAGTCTCACGGCTCCCGAGTGCCGGCCTCACTGCAGGGTAGGTCCACTAGGTCCCTGCTGACCAGGGAAGTGTCCTGATGCCTGTCCCAAGATGACTGGTCATTTCCTAGTCCTCCAGCTCCAAAACACTCCGTGTGCCGGAGAAGAGGTGGACACGTGGAGGGAGGGAGAGGGAGGTGGGTAGCTGTGGCCACACAGATTCACCTGTGAGGAGGGCCTGTCGCTGAGCGGAGGAACCTCTCACACCTGCCCCACTGCCCACTGGTGTGCACACCCCTGGGGCACGTGGGCTGGGCCTCACAGTTTCCTGGCCCAGCGCCTGCAGCCAACCTGACCCGGGGAGTGAAGGCTGCTCCTGGGCAGACCCTCCCGAGGGGGGGTGGGCCTGAGGCACCCTCAGACCTGCTTTCAGGAGCCAGGGCTGCTGTGGCCTCAGCTGGCAGGTTCGCCTGCCCCCTGGAGGCTTCCTAGGGGACTGGAGGAGCTGTGTCCCCAAGGACGTGGACTTGCAAAGGCTCCGTCCTCTCACTCAACACCGGGGACACCTCGGCAGGGTCTTCCCAGCCCGAGTGACTGTGGGCCCACTGTGTCTCGGGGGCTGTCACAGCCCAGGTCCCTCTGCCCAGTCCTGTTCTGTCCTTCCCCTTTGGTAGGAACTGACCCCCAGAGCCCTGCCAACAGGTTTCCTCACCGCTCCCGGGCAGGCCTGCTTCCCAGGGAGCCCGCGGCCCGCAGCCTCGTCGGTGCTGGTGCGGCCCAGCCTTTGCTGTGTGGTTGCAGTTGCCCAAATTCCTGCTGTGACCCCGGGCTATGCTGTGAGCATGAGCTGGGGCTGGGGACTCAGTCCCCTAGGAAGCCTCCAGGGGGCAGGCGAGTCAAAGCAGGAGGTGAACAGGGCGAGAGAGCGGTACCAGGAGGAGGGCACTCCCAGGGGCAGCACCGAGGGAGACTCTGCCAGCGACGGGCAGCTCAACGCCAAAGACAGCCGTGTGCTGACCCCTCGGCAATCCTGGAGCCTTTGATTTCATTTGGGAACCAGAGGGATGACTCCTAGGCAGCGAGGGTGCGTCCAGGAAATGGGAGGGGAACCATCGCCTCTACACTGAGGTCTGGTTGGATTTGAACATGACGAGCTGTGCAGGAAGTGGGGGAGGCGCGGCGTTCAGCGGGGTGTGCTGGGTTCCCAGCGAGTCCTTTCTATTTGGAATAACAGTAGCTGATGTATTTATGAGGTTCGCAGTGTGCCAGGGTTTACCTATGTGCTTGGCACATGTGTCACATTTGATGTTGCTACTGAGACGTCACCCCGTTCACAGCCAAGGAGACAGAGGCTCTGGACGGATGGCTGCGTGGACGCAGCTTTTAGCTTGAGCCAGATCAGAAGTTGGACAGCCTGACTTTCTCGATTTTAAGACCCTGGTCCCTTACCATCATCACCCTTAATTAAAACCTCAGTCAAAAAGTTCTCCTAATAAACCATTTAAAAATTCTATCCAGAGTGCAGTTTCAAATCATAGTTCACTGTCCGTCACTCCCCCAAGGTCTCGGATGAAAGAGCAGCTGCCAGAACATCGCATCCCGGGTCTGAGCCCGCTCCCCGCTGTGGAGGGAGGGGACGGCTAGAGAGGCCGGCTTCCCTCAGAGGCTGCTGCAGTTATGAGACTAAAATAGCTTTTAGATCTATCTCTGCAGTGGACGCAGTGACCTGGACAGACAGATGCAGCGAGGGGCAGAGCGGGCGGGTTCCGCTCATGACCAGGGTCAGGCGCAAGCCTGGGGACCCGCCTCCCGCCAGGGGAGCTCCGAGGAGAATTTCCATCATCTCCTGAGTCATTCGTCTCCCTCTTTATTCGAACCAGCCTTCTCTGCAATCGAGTCCTCCATCTCAGTCCAACTTAGAGCACCCTTGACTGCCATGGTGTTTGTTAAATTACCTGGGAATCCAATTCCCCTGTTCTGACTTCATGTTAACAATCTCTGGATCATGGAACTGCGTCTGTGTGTCCAGGTGTCAAAGCCACGCTGTTGGAGGGGGTGGTCACCTTCGGGGGGATGGAAACTGGCCTGTGTCTCCGATCTTTCCCACCCACGTTCCAGTTACAGCCCCACAGTCTGAGAGCAGACAGGGCCTGACGGCGTTTGGTTTACCCGGATTAGGTTTAGTCACCTCTGAAGTGGGCATAGCATTTAGACAAATCCAGCCTTTCCCTGTGACCACCGGGCGGCAGGTGGCGCGTGGGCGGGTGCATGCTAATTCGGGCCCATGTGGGTTCCTTCCCTCACGGCTGGGAGGTCTGTGTTGTGCCCCATGTTATACGTCGGGTTTCTTAGCAGGTGCTACCTGTGTTAGGGTGGGAACCAGCAGGGATGGACTTGATTTACTGCCCCTTTCCTGTGACAGGAGAGGGCACCTCGTCCTGCCGGCTCCTCACTCCTCCGGCCGCTTCCCCGTCTCTTTCCCAGTGATGATCAGAACCTCTCCTTTCCCTCTGCACCGACAGACACCCTGGGCAGAACTCACATTCACAGGAACCTCCCGGCGGCTCCTCCCTCCCCACCTGTCAGCACCCCGACTCCTGAGCGGGGGCTGGAACTCAGAGCCAGATCCAGGGTTTATCACTCCTGCGGGCACTTGTATGCATCATTCAACCTTTTTGGCTTCAGTCTCCTCATCATGAAAATGAGGATTTTAGCTAGTTTTTTCCCAAGGGTCCCATCTCGCAAAAATTCCATGTGTCGGATCCCCTGAGCCTCCTAAAGCATCGCAGGAGCCTCCCTCCCTCTGACTCTGCCTCGCTGACCTACGAGCCTCTGCGTGGGCACCGCGCCCCCTGCACCCGCTGGCCTCGTTCTCAGTCGCAAGCCCTCCTGCTATCCATCCATCTCTTCAGATAGCAATGCGTTACATGTCGGCAGAGGCGAGTGCAGACTCCAGGGAAATACTTTAATTACAAAGATAATAATAGTACGTCCTTCTGTAACTCGATCTGTACTAGCGGTTTAAAAGGAAGTGTATTCCACACTGACACGCAGCTGTCCTGTGAGATCAACTACTTGAAAACCAGGTTAGTTCTCAGAATCAAAGGTAAATTATGACTAAATGTTGTAACATTCAGGATGTCACAGTCCAGTAGACTAAGGACATGACATAAAGAACATAAGGACCCTCGTGATGTGGCATCTTTTAAAAAAGGAGCGTATGAACTTTCTGAAGGCTGTGCACGCGATTTCTCTCATGGAAATAGAGACAGAAACAGGTGGGGAGGTTTACGGAGCCGCTGAGGCACCAGCCTCTGGGAGACTGAGTGAGGGGCACAGAGCACTGATGTGGGACGGTTTTGCCTCCTTGGTTCACAGACAGAAGTCATCATCAAAAGTTAAGATCTGGCACCATGTTTTGAACTTCCAGGGACCTCTAACAGAGCTTAACACGCCTGCTGCCAGTTCAAAATAGAATCTCAGAAACCAGGCTGTGGCTCTGACACCGCCGCAGGGACTTTATATTTAACAGTGCTGAATGGTAAGAAACGCCCGCGGCCATGCACATGGAGGTGTCACACCGAGCGAGGCAGGTACACTCACCGGTGGGGAGTGAGCCCGGACGTCGGGGACTTGGCCTGTGTGGGCAGATCCCTTCCCTGGCCCTGGTCCCAGTGTCTCATCTAAATGTAGGCTGAGGACTCCAATTTTTTATTTTATATTTCTGAACAGAAGATAACCTGATACTTAGGCAACATAAGCCTCCCTAAAGGGTCTTGCCATATCATATCTGAGTTGGATATGGCTACAACATGAAGGCCATTTATTCAAACTGTATCTGAAAAACATGGCTCTTACCTCTACAATTCCTATTTTTCCATCATCTTTCTGCCCGTACTGCTCCACAAAAGCTTTCATCTCAGATGATAGCTCCTGAAATTATATAAAAGCGAGTAAAAAGTTTGTGAGAATAAAACCCAAACCCAGTCATGCTTGTGATGGTGTTAATAACTTACTGCAAAGAAAAACTGGGATTGGAACCATTTAGAACTACTCATACTGATGAACTATTCTCATGAAAATTAAAGACAACGGATAAACAGTATATGCTGGTTTTCAATGAAGGAGTTATAATTATCATGATCATTTCTGAATCGATTGCTATGATTTTTCTTCTATTATTAGTTTTGGGAATATACTATCCTTTAAAATGTCATCAGCATTGTTGAGTTGATGAGCTTTCCTGAATTAAAGATAATGATCTCTTTACACGTGCTTCAGAGGAGAGTCTCTCCTAGTGTGGCACCAGCTGTGCGGTAACATTCTTGCCCCTGGGAGGTATTCTACATGTTTTCAGTTAAGCAAAGCAGGAATGTGGCATCCATTGATTAAATAAGTAAAAAAATTAAACATCAGAAAAATATGTGTCAGATAAAAACTGACTTGTCCTTTCACTAGAGACAAATGCTGATGATCTGATGTTAAGCCACTGGTCATGGGTCCTGCATCCCAGCGCTTCCTTGTCTCCATTTTTTCTGAACTAAATGAACTTCAGTTCTATAAGACACGTGTGAGTGACTTGCTGAATGCATCCATTGCGTGGCTTCCCCCAATCTGTTCTATTGCTTACAGTCTCTTCCCTTTTGACAGGAGGGAGATCTAGGCACTATGATACTTGGTTAGTATTCAGGAAGTTGAATGTAGCCATTGGAAACAGCCCTGCTGAAGTCGTCACAGCCTGTTTAAAATAGGTCAGCCTTTACTGCTGCACATTCTATGTTCTTGCAAAACAAATTAAGGTCTCAGTTTTTGTCATAACTAGAAAGAGGCAGCCGTTTGCTCTAGGGATGGACCAGTTAGTATAGTCTAAGGGCTATTTTGAGGCTGAATATCTTGACTACAAGTTTACAAAATCCTTTCTGAACCAAAGTAAATATTGTTGGTAGAACTGAAGAAGCAGATAGTAATTAAGCAATTTAATTATAATGTAGTCTTAAAAACAAACAAACATGCCCTGACTGGTTGGGCTCAGTGGATAGAGCGTCGGCCTGCGGACTGAAGGGTCCCAGGTTCGATTCCCGTCAAGGGCATGTACCTTGGTTGCAGGCACATCCCCTGTGGGGGGCGTGCAGAAAGCAGCTGATCAATGTTTCTTTCTCATCGATGTTTCTAACTCTCTATCCCTCTCCCTTCCTCTCTGTAAAAAAACCCAATAAAATATATTAAAAAAAACAACAACAAAAAAGCAAACAAACAAACAAACAACTCTTCTAGCCCAGTCATGTGGCTCAGTAGCTGAGCAGTGACCCATGAACCAGGAGGTCACTGGTTGGATTCCTGGCAGGGCACATGCCTGGGCTGCACTTGATTCTCTCATCCATGTTTCTATCTTTCTATCCCTCTCCCTTCCTCTCTCTCTAAAAATAAATAAAAGCATATTTAAAACAAAAACTCCTCCTGTACAGATTAATTTTAACTTGTATTTATTAAATTTACTATAGCAACAACTGTAAGAAAGTGAGAGTGGCCCAGCCAGCATGGCTCAGTTGAGGGTCGACCTATGAACCCAGGAGGTCAGGGTTTGATCCCGGTCAGGGCACATGCCTGGCTGGCCCGCTCAATCCCCAGTGTGGGGTGTGCAGGAGGCAGCCGATCAATGATTCTCTCTCATCATTGATGTTCTTATCTCTCTCTCCATTCCTTTCTGAAATCAATAAAAATATATTTTTAAAAAAGTGAGAGTGACCGTGGTGGGACTATCCATTCGAATGTACATTCTTAGAGTACACAGAGAACAAAGCATTTGCTCTTAAATCTTAAAATCATCTTAGAAAAAAGAGTCAATGATCAAGGGACCAAGCACCTTGCTATCACCCTGTGTCTGTTCAGACTTGGTGTTGTTGGGTTATAATTTAACAATAAAGTTTCCAGGATTCTAAAATTGGAGCCTAGGCAGTAGAAAAAGAAAATTATGCTCTAAAACCTCCAAACCTCTAACATAAAGTCAGTATTTATAAAAAAGTACAAATATTAAAATGGGAAGAGGAAAAGAAAAATCTGAAGAAATGTATAGTTTCTAAATATTTGAATTTCTAAGATGAAAATAAATCTCAATTTTAAAATTACTTCTAGAAAAATTAAAATATATTCATTTATTTGCTGGAAGCATCTTACAAGGTTTCAATTTGAAATTTTTTAACAAGTAAGATTTTTTCCAAGCAAATATTTTAAATATATATTTTGAATGATGAAGAGACTTGTTTTTGCTTTATTAGTAAAAGATACATAGAGCTGTAATGATAGTATTGCATAAATTTATTTTCATGGTAATGTGTAAGGAGGGGGAGAGAAAGAATGTAAAACAGTTTCTATTTTACTTGATCCCGTTCAGTTATACTTCCAGGTTATATAGTCTAAATCTGGGTGAGACAATCCCCAGCGTGTTGTCTGGCTTTAAGTTGATTCTGTCAATGATTTTAGCAACTGATAGTTCTGTGATGCATTGCATTTTAGAGTCCTCTGGGATTCTTTTTGAACATGTTGAACATAGATATGTATCACACATAGAACAAAATGTAACTCTATTAGTAAGTTATACATACATATGTAATTTTTAAATTATATATAACTCAATGCTAGAGGTGGTGATCTGCTAAGAGTCACACACACCTATATTTTCCTCCAAATATATATACAGGGTGAGGCAAAAGTAGGTTTATAGCCATGAGTACACAGAACACAGAGTTTATTCTTATATTACGTATTAATTATTGTGTTATTTTTCATACAAACAACTGCAAGCCTACTTTTGCCCCACCTTGCATACACAATCTCTTTCTAGTGGTAGTCAAATAGCCAAAGAGTATAGCTAACAGCCCACCCAGCACTGCTTCTGAAATGCAGTCTTCCATAAATCCCAATAGATGAGTAAAATTCTTAACCTATTTTCCTTTATACAGTCATCTCGTCTGCGATTTAAAGGTGGGCACTTTGTTTTTATGCTGACAACATATATTCTCAACAGCATGACCAAAGGAGGGCATTCAGAATTCGTAAGAATTGTTTAATTAACTAGTGGATTAAATTACAATTACAGCTATTTTCAAAATGCCATTAATTGCTTACCATCAGAGCATCACTTTAAAAACATTGAATTGTTAAAATTACTTTTTACATTTCTAACTTTTGGGTTTCTCCCTTTGGGCAGAAATGAACACCTTTCTTGCTAAATTTTTGCTCATTATCATGTTGCAACTTGTTCCACTTTCCCCAGGGAGGGCGGTCATTTTGCGATCTCTCCAACCACATCCCCACCACAACCATAACTGGCAATAGAAAAAGAACCTTATCTGCAGGTCTGCTGCTGACCGCGGAGGGGCAGACTGGCTGTCTACCGGGCTGCTCACGCAGTTAGAGGGGAGTTGGGAGTTACCTAACCCAACCCAGTCCCGGGCGCAGACCCGCAGGGTTCGCACGCACACTTGCCTCTTAGGCACCAGAAGGGGGTGCAAGCATAGAAGCTGGACTTCAACCCTCCGGTTTGAGTCTGCACGGATTTTCCCGTTAGGGACTCTCTTTCTCTCTCCGACTCTGTCTCTCAGTGTCTCTCCCTATCTATATCTATGTTTCTCTGTCTCTCCCTTTCTCTCCCTCTGTCTCTCCGTCTCCCCCTCTGTCTCTCTCTCTGTCTGTCTCTCCTCTTCACCCGACACAATTCGGAAAGGCCCTCTTCTGCCCCTTCCTCAGTCAATAGAATTCACACGCCCTAGAAACCTGGGCCCTGCTGGCTCTTGATGCGAATGTGGAACATCTGTATTTTCCTCCTTTGAACTCCACCTACCAGCCCCGCCTTCTTCCGCGCCTGCTGGAGCTCCCGGACCAGGCTCTGCAGCTCCTTGCCTTCCAGGTACCCACTCCCTGCAAGACAGAGGTGCCAGGTGTCAGACAGTGTCCCGGGCAGGTGTCTTTCTGGCCACCCCAGAGGTTCCCTCCCCCCGGAACCTGGGTTGCCCGTGTGGGGGTGCTGAGCATGGCCATGGGACCTTTGAGGAGCAGTGTTCCCCAATCCCTGCGCCCCACTTTCTTGGAGAGAAATACGTTTACGGTTCAGAATAATGTAGACGCAATATCTAAACTTCCAAGTTCACAGTTACGCCAGGCTGGAGGTAAGCTTGGGGAGCGGGAGGAGGGAGAAGTAAAGAAAAGAAG